GAAAGAGCTAGACAGACTGCAAAGATACTATAGTTGTTACGATAGGGTGAGGAGAGGGACAAACAGAATTTGAAGACATTCCCGGCTGCTATCTTATCTTTTTCTCTGAAGTAGTTATTGAATTCATCTTCTGAGAGTGAGGAACAATGACTTTTGAGAACATTAAGATACAGTGAACTGTTGGTGATTACTTTGTCTTGTTTCAAAACCTTAGCTAATAACTTTCATGAATTTAATATATTTTTAGATCCAAATGTTTGGAATGACTATGAAACATGAGTGTCATGCATATTGCATTAATCTCTTAGCTTTTTCCTACTCTGCAAGTGTAAAGGTTATCTTTCATTTTAAAATGAACATAAAATAGTTAGGATAGACTTTCTGTTTTCCAGGTTCCTGCTATAATGTGATTCGGGTTCCTCCAGAGAAAGTGGACGTTGGAGAGACAATCCATGGAGCCCAGGTGATATGTTCTATTGCTTCTACAGAGAAAATGAAGGTGTCTTACTACCATAGCTTTGGTGAGTCCATACACAAGGCAAATTGCAATGGGGCCTGACTTTATCTTCTTGTAGCAGAGAAACTAGATGTGGCAAGTAGTATGTTAATACAGTTTGTCAGAATATAGTGATAACCAAGGTGCTTTTTCTTTTTTTTAATTGTTTTTGATGATTTTATTTAACCTTATTAATTTATTAATTTATTTTAATTTGACCAAAAAGGGACAGAGGGAGGGCAAGAGAGAGAGAGAGCGAGAGAGAGAGAGAGAAAACAAGCTGCCAGGTCCAGGACTTGAAGTGCAGTCAGTCATGTGGGAGTCCAGAGCTCTTAACTACTATGCCACCTGCTGTCTCCCCAACATGCTTTGTAATGCCAGTTAAGTTTACTGTGTTTAGTCACATACTTATTACCCTAGCCAGCTGACTGCTTGGAAAGATAAAGTTGCAGGCTAGCCCGATAGCCAAGTGGTTAGGGAGTCAGATTCATAGCTGACTGTAGTTTGAATCCCAGTCCCAGCAGCTTGAAAAACATGCTGAGTACATATGTATATACCCAAAATCCCAATAGGATGGGGAAAGGGAAGAGAAGACATTGCAGCATAACTCATTTGGGAGGTGCTGTCTCTGTCTCTTTCTCTCTGTCTCTTTGGAGAATACATTTTAGTGCCCTGTGGCACTAAAATCAAAAGGAACAGTTGGCGTGGTATAAGCAATTGCTAAAAAATGGACAGAATCCAAAATTTCAGGTAACTTTAAAACCTATAAAAATAATCATACATGTAAAGATCTTATCTGTATTTTTGTGGAAAATTCATATTTTATATAGAATATTTATTTTTAGTTTTACTCAGGATATTTATTTTCTGTATTCTAAATCATTATAGCCAAACTGCTTCTGGATCCTTGATCTGTAATTAGGAAAGGTTTAAGGGAATGAAATAGATAGGTCATAAATAACACATTAATATTATGCTGCTTTACCTTGTTCCTAAATAAAAACACTTTTAAAAGGAAAAAATCAAGTTGAGGACCTTCAATGTCATGTAGGGATGAAAAGTGTGTTTTGTTGTTGTTGTTGTTATTTTGTTTATAAGCCAGAGGGCATGTACACTTGCCAGGAAGAGACAGAGACACACAGAGGCAGAGGCAGAGGGAGAAGGCACTCCCCAGTGTGGCATGGCCATACTGCAATCCCTTCTTCATTTCTTTATCCTGTTGGAACTTTAGGCATGCACACACACACATGCCAGGCATGTTTTTCAGGCTGTTGAGGCCACAATTTAAACCACACAGTCAGCCATGTGGTATCTGGTTCCCTTCACCACTAGGCCTCAGGACTGGCTCAAGAACAGGAAATACAGAATAGCAAAGCTGGGAAACAGTGAGGAAGTATTTTTGGCTGGCATTTGTTTAGGTTAGCAGTAATATGTCTATGCATTTGGAAGAGTCCCCGTAATAATCACACTTAACACAATTATACTTTGCCAAGTAACATTTTATTGTCTGCCTGAACCTTTTAGGAATGACAAAGAACTACATAATCTTCATTGAACAGCCTGTAAAGATGAATCTGTGGAAAATTTTCACTTCTAAAATTTGGGGAAAGGCCTTTTCAGATGGGATAAGCTGGGAACCCCAATATAATACACAGTTTCATGTGGTGGATAAGCACACTGGACAGGTAGAATATTTTGCGTATTTTTATCATGAAATTATTAGATACAAAGGCAAATTTTCATGTTTGATTTTTCACAACTGGTCGCTACTTATGTACATAAGTTACTCTTAATTAATGATATTACCTTCTTTCATAATGGGACTAGTTATTTATTTACTAGTACTTATTAATTAGTACAGTGGTCCTTGAGATATCAGATTTTTTTTTTTTTGAAGAGATTTTCTCTATAGGGCGCATGTGCTCGCCAGACAGACGGAGAGAGACAGAGATAGAAAGCAAGAAATCACCCCCCCAGGGGGGATGGCCACACCACAATCCCTTCTCCATTCTCTTCTTGGGATCTTGGGCATGCATGCACACGCGCCAAGTGTGAGTTTAAGCCACCGGGTCTGGGACTCAAACCGTGGTCGTCTACGTGGGAGTGCAGCGACAGACATAGCCATTACGCTAACTGCTGGTCCTGAGATATCAGAAATTTATAGAAAGTAATTTTATCCTTTTTATTATCTGATTCAATTAAAATGGCATTGAGAAGTGTTTCCATATCGTAATAGCTGCCAAAGACATGTCTTTGTGTTGTTCATTCAGTGATCTTCTGTAACTTTTGCAATGATACTTTAGTTCTTTCTGTAAATTCTTGATAGTAAATATGATAATTTTACCAAAGTCCAAGGTATGTTGGACTTTTCTATGCTCCTGACTAATAGCACTATTACAGTTGCTTACTTTTTACTTCTCTAAAGAGATAGTATCTTGAATTTCTCTGAATTTTATTACCCACCTCCTGTATATTTTTAGTAATGGGTGGAATAATGAGTCAGTTACTTTTATCTAAGTATATTTAATAGTAGTAATATTTTCTACTTAACCATGTATTTAGAGTACAGAATTTATTTATCCCTCAAAACACTGGGCCATATTTCATGTGACTTTCAAGTTAGTTGGAACAGTTGATTGGTCTATATCAGTAGCCCCAATTCATTGATTAACAAGAGATGAGATGACTTAAACAAGCAAAGCTTAGCATATATTTGCTTCTACATTCTGAATTCTATTTCTTTTTTTATTTTGGAGAGGTTTTCGCTATAAGGTGCGTGCGCTCGCCAGACAGACAGAGAGAGACATAGAGACAAAAAGCGAGAAATCACCCCCCAGGGGGGATGGTCACACCGCAATCCCTTCTCCTCCATTCTCCTCTCGGGCTCTTGGGCACGCACGCACACGCGCCGGCGTGAGTTTTAAGCCACCGGGTCTGGGATGCGAACCACGGTTGACTACGTGGGAGTTCAGCGACATAGCCATTACACTAACTGCTGGTTCCCTGAATTCTATTTCTTTAGCAACCACTGGTCCTGTCATTTAAGAGAGTAAATTTTTCTTAATTTTAGCTTTGTGATCTGGTTTTTAAAGGAAAAAAAAAAAGACAGAAACATTTTCATTATTTATGTTTTCCTCTGTAGCTTCTTCCAGGGATGTACTTCAGCAAACCTTTTCTTAGTTTTCATCAAATCAATGCTTTTGAGGACCAGAATTGTGTTGTGCTTGATTTGTGCTGTCAAGATAATGGAAGAAGTCTGGACGTTTACCAACTACAGAATCTCCGGAAAGCTGGAGAAGGACTTGATCAGGTAAATATTTCTGATTTGTCAGGAGTTACTGACATGGACTGTGTCTTTGGCATTACCAATTTCTTTTCCTCCCTATGGCAAGTAAGGAGACAGAGTAATTTTAAAACATTGAAGGCCCAGCTTAATTAGTTATGTATTTAATATTTAAATAATTTGGAAATGGCCCCATAGCCTAATAGTTAAGGGAACCAGATCTCATATGGTCAGCTGACCCCAACTGTTGGAAAAACATACCAGACGCATGTGAGTGTATGCCGAAAGTCCTGAAGGATGGAGAAATAGAAGATGTGGGATTGCAGAATGACCAAACCCCATGGGAGGTGATCTCTCTCTCTCTGTCTCTCTCTTCGTGTCTCTCTGGCAAGCTTACATGCCATCTGGCAATTAAAAACAGAATTTGAGATAATTTTACTTAATATTGAATAAGCAAAAAGCGTGGTTGGGGAGCCAACAACATATGTGAAGCACTTGTGATTACTTCCTTATTACACTTAAACACTAAACATACTAGAGTTTCTTGGAAGGAATATCAAGATGAACTGTCACTGTAGCAGTTTATCTAGCTGAAAGGATTTACTTTTTCCTGATACTGAATTTAAGGCAAATTTTTTCTTAAAATGTGTAATGTAAATTGTCTCCAGCTGTAGTTTTATGTTTAAATATTAAAGAATTACTTATTTAATTTCATTTACTGTTATTTCTTTTTAAAATTTTGCTGTAGGTCACATATGCTTACCAGAGATAGACAGAGAGAGAGTGAGAGTGAGAGAGGGAAAGTTAAAAAGGAAGCTGCCAGGTCCAGAACTCTAACCACGTCAGCCATATGGGATTTCAGTGCCCTAACCACCATGCCACCTGCTAGTTCTTATTTTTTTTATATTTTAAAACAGTCCTTATTAAGTCTGCTTACACTGAATTTATTCAGCTTACTTATAGCTTTGTGGTAGATTTCAATATCTGAGGTATAAATTCTTTAACTCTTTCCTTTTTTAAGATTACCTGCTTTTCTTAATTTTTTTAAAAGAATTATTTATTTTAGTCATTCTTCTTTAATTTGACCAGAGAGAGAAAGACAGAGAAACAGGGAAAGTGAGAAAGTAAGCCACCAGGTTTGGGACTCAAATCTTGGTCAGTCAAACCATGTGGGAGTCCAGTACCTCAATCACCACACCACCCAGCCTGCTTTTCTTTGTCTTTTGCATTTCCATAAATTTTAGAACTGAAGTTTTTGTGAAGAAAAAACATGACTGGATCATGCTACAGCTATATATCAAAACATGATTGGGATCATGCTCCAAAGATATCAGTGATTACTGACATCTTTATAATACTGAGGCTTTAGTTCATGAACATGGAATATTCCTTCCCTTATTTGAATCTTATTTATCTTTGTTAGCAATGTTGTAGTTTTAAGTGTAAGGATATAACTTATCTTTTGCTAAATTTATTCCTAGGCATCTTGTGTGTTTTGAAAATACTGAAAATGGTGTCTTTTAGGGGCCAGCAGGTGGTGTGGTGGTTAAGGGGATGGACTCTCATGTGATCAGTACCATATTGTTCTAATTAATATCACTGTATACAAAAGGTCTTAATGTTTAGTAGAACAAATCTTCCTCATTGTTTTCCTATAGAGATCGTCATGATCATTCCTGATTCTTACCTTTTTTAAAAATTCATTTTAGAATCAGCTTGTCAGTACCACAAAAGATAAATGGAAACAAATCTATCAGATTTTAATTACCTTTGCACTGAATCTGTATATTAATTTGGGAGAAGATTAACATCTTCACTCAGCTGTGTATACTAACACAATTTTTCTCTCATTTATTTGAGGTCTCTTTAATTTTCTTCAATATTTAGTTATATGGGTACAAGTTTTACACATCATTTATTACACTTATTTCTAGATAGTTGATTAGTTTTCAATATTTTAAATTTTACCAATGCTTTATGTTATTGTTGCTATATAACAAATGATTTTTTTGTTTCTTGATCATGTGTTCAGTAATGTTGTAATTGCGATTATACATTTTAATTATTTATAGATTCTTTTACTTGTTTTAATTGCCAAAGGGCATATGTACTCACGAGAGAGGAGAAAATACCACCTATGAGATGTGGTCATGCCACAATCAATTATCTTCCATTTCTCCATCCCATTGGGATTCTGGGCATGCACGCACATAGACCTGGCATATTTTCCAAGCAACAAGGCCTAGGACTTGAATTGCAGTCAGCCATGTGGAATCTGGCTCCCCCAACCAGCAGGTTGTGGAATTGGCCCTTTTTTAGATTTTCTGCACCTGTAATCTTATCAAGTGCAACTAGTGGCAGTTTCTTTTCTGAAAGCTGTTTAATTGGCTTTCTTTTCCTTGTCTTATTTCACAGTGTTGAAATAAGTGATGATAGTGGTGTCCTTATCTTTCCCGATCCGAGAGAACAAGCTTTCAACATTTTTACCACTAAGCATGCTGTTTGCTGTAGATTAAAAAAAAAAAAAAAATCAAGGGACCAGCAGTTAGCGTAATGGCTATGTTGCTAGACTCCCATGTAGTCGACCTCAGTTTGAGTACCAGACCCAGTGGCTTAAACTCACACTGGGCGCATGTGTGTGCGTGCCCAGGATCCCAAGAAGAGAATGGAGAAGGGATTGTGGCATGGCCATCCCCCTGGGGGGTGATTTCTTGCTTTCTGTCTCTCTGTGTTTCTGTCTTTCTGGCGAGTGCATGAGTCCTATAGCAAAAAAAAAAAAAAAAAAAAAAAAAAACATCA